AGGGATATTATTACCATTAATTAAAATATGCTAACAAACTAGTTTTGTAGTCATGCTTTAGTGCGAATACTAGAAATAAAAAAATTTGTATTTTTAAGCAAAGAAATATAAATGTGTTTATTTTATATCAGTTTAAAAAGCTAATTACAAACTGAATAAACTAAAAACTATGGAATTGAAATCCATTCATATTGCAGTCGCAATCATTTTTACAAAAAGTAAAAAATATGAGATCATCTTTATACTTGCATATAAATTGTATTTATGCATATACACATATATAGTAACGCATGTATGTAAACATACAAGTCGGACGGATTTCGTAAAAAAAATTATGTCATGTCTCCGATTCGCTTCAAATTTTTGTATGGCTTCTATGCATGAAATAAGCTAACACGTATTCGAGGAGAGATATAACAATTTGAAGAAGTACATGATTACTTAGTCAGAGTTACGAAAAAATATAAAATTTTTCAGATCATATATCCGAAGAAAAAACGAAAAATGTGAAGCCAATGGAAATTGTGACACCAAATTCGGTGTCCGATATGAAAAAGAATGCCTCAAATTATATTCCGGGATCCCGAAGGCTTGATCCCGGGATTTCGGGGCTAAAAAGGGCTCGAGATTCCCGGGACTCGGGATCCAGAATCCCGGGACTAGATGCCTTAGTGCATATATATGTACATATGTATGTATGTACATACATAGTTATTGGAACGTTCATATTCATCGGCGCCAAATTTTAAAGACACAATTTTTTATCCATGCGTGAAATTACCACATCGAAGTTCATGAAAGTCAATGTATGAAATGGTTCCGTCAAAAATATAGATATCGGCGTTATAAATTACAATTTCAAAGAAGTTGCAAGAAGCATTTTGCATAGTTCTACGTAAAGTCATTCGCAATAACCAAGAATATCATTGTTTTACTTAGAGCAGGGGTTCTTAAACTTTTAAGATGATGGAACCCTTACAAAACACCATTCATTTTATGGAAACCCACATTCAATTACTACAAATCAAAGGCAATGCAATTTATATATGAATAAAAACTTTTACTAGAAATAGTATACATACTTTAAATTCTTATGTATTGAATGAAATTGTTTCACTGTTATTAATTAGGTATTGTATAAAATAGTAGTTCGATATAATGTCTGAAATCTGTATGCACATTTTTGGGGTAGCATCTAATTTTGAAATGATTTCAGTGATGAGATTGGTGGTACAATTGTACTTTTTTGGTACATTTTGAATAGCAAAAGTACATTGGTACTACATCGACATTTTTGATACAATATTGTCAAAATACTGCGCCAAATTCTATCGAAATACCACTATGTATACTTGAAAATTTTAATGTTTGTGGATGAAAATATACTAATCTTTTTCCACTTCATACAAGACGTGGTGTTTACTAATAACAAAAGACTTGCTAAAATCAATCAACAGTTGCTGTAATAATATAAACCGTAGAAAAGACAAAATTTTTTGCAAAATATTTTTCTTAAACTTCGATTGCATTGAATGCAATATTTTTTTGTGAAGTTTTTGTGTTACTTGTACTTAATAAACATACTTGAATGCTTTTGTTGTTTGCCTTGATTAGTGATGGATGGACGATACGAGTACCGAGTACAGAATATCGATACTTTTCATGAGTACTGAGTAGTATCGAGCACTCGATACTTTTTGACAAGTACTGAGTAAATATCGCGAATGCCAAAAAGTATCGACCGGTTAAGAACATTTTTAAAGTAAATTTTTTTTTTAATTACCGAATAAATATTGTGGCGAACGTTCGAATAATATCTTCGATATCTAATATGAGTGTTATGAAAATGAACATAGCGCTCATTCACTTGAATAGGTACTGCAATAACTCAAAAAACCGAAAACCCGAGAAAAACGCTTTTAAAGATTCAAAACACATACATATGTATACTCCCATAGAAATAATTAATACATATTTTGTGCGAGTGAGCTACGGTTAATTGATACAGTTATGAAATTTTTACACAACCTAGAAGAAAATGTAGCGGTAATTTCAGCAATGGGCTAGGTTAAAATCTTTTAAATAACTGAAAAACGAATCTTTTGCCTCACCTTTGATAACACTGTACGGCAAAACCAACTTTTTTTCTGGGTATTGGACCAAACCATTTTTTTTAAGGAATTGGGTCACAGGTAAAAAAGTAAATTCTCCGTTTTTCGAAGTTAGCGTCCGAAATCGAGATATGGGCCGTCGAAGTTCAAAATAGGACCTTTGGTAAAAAATTATATTTAATTATTGCCTATAAATAACTAAAAACCTTAAAATATAGACGTAGTCCTCCTTTTGCTCTTATTTAAATTGTATATAACTTTTTTGGTGCAAACTTATATTATACCGTATATAAAAATTGTAGAAAAAACACATTTAAATGAAAAAATAGCCTTTTTTATAACAAAAAAAATATTTTAAACAAAAGGATTACTAACGATTTTTACAAAATTGAGATCGTTGTAAAGACGATGATATGCATATTTGTATACTTCGTATATACAAATTTGAGAAAAAACACATTTAAAGGAAAAAATACCTTTTTTTATAAAAAAAAAATATTTTAAACAAAAAAATTACTAACCGATTTCTTAAAGGTTGATATCGTTGTAAACGCGATTAAACTCCCGTTTTTCTGATATGCATATTTGTATACTTCGAATATAAAAAAAAAACACATCAAAATGAAAAAAAAAAACTTTTTTTTATAAAAAAAAATATTTTAAACAAAAAATACTAACCGATTTTTAAGAAATTGATATCGTTATAAAGGGGATTAAACCCTTCTTCTGAAATGCATATTTGTTTACTTCGTATAAAAAAATTTGACAAAATCAAATAACTTAAAATAACTTAAACCAAATATTTTGAACAAAAAAATTAAAAACCGATTTGTAAGCAATTGGTACCGTTTTAAAGGCGATTAAACACCCTTTCCCCTGATATGCATATTTGTATACTTCGTATAAAAAAATTTGACAAAAACATTTAAAAGAAAGAATACAAATTTTTTCCTATACAAAATATTTTAAACAAAAAAATACTAATTAGTAATAAAATTGAATACTTTATTTAAATAAAACAGAAAATTATCTTTAATTTTTATATATAACCTGTTATGTAAAAAATCAAAAACCATGGTGTTTTTATATCTTGTTATGCCTTGGACTTCTGTTACATAAACTTTGGCTTTATTTTTAACAGGGCTGTGGGTGAAGAAGAACGAATTAACGCTATAAATTTTTGTTTTATTTAAAAAGGGTATTCAATTGTATTATTAATTAGTAATTTTTTTGTAAATTTTTTTTATAAGAAAAAAATGGTATTTTTTCCTTACATAGTATACAAATATGCATATTAGAAGAAAATGGGTTTAATCGCCTTAACAACGATGCCAATTTTTTTAAAATCGCTGAGTATATTTTTGTTTAAAATATTTTTTGATAAAAATAGTTATTTTTGCCTTTTATGTAAGTGTTTTTTCTCAAATTTTTATTCACGGGGTATACAAATATGCATATCAGAGGAGAGGGGGTTTAATCGCCTTTACAACGATACCAATTTTTAAAAAAGTCGGTTAGTAACTTTTTTGATTATAATATATTTTTTTCTTCTCAAATTTTTATATACGAAGTATACAGATATGCCTATCACAGGAAAGGGGGTTAACTCATCTTTACAACGATTTGAATCTTTTGAAAATCAGTTCAATATTTTCTGAAATATTAAGTTTCTAATTTTTCGTAGATCTCACCTTTGACCTGTTGTAGCACCTGTAATACAAGTTTTCACAAAAAAAGTTATATACCACATAAATAAGAGAAAAGGGCGGACCACGTCTGTATTTTTACTTTTTTTCGCTTTTTACATGCAATAATTAAAATTAGTTTATTACCAAAGGTCCAATTTCGAACTTCGAAACTTTGCAAAATGTTTAAAAATTACCCCATAGGCATAACGTTCATATACTTCAAAACTGTCATAACTCAAAAACCCGAAAAATTAATATATCTTTTGTTCTGGTGAGCTACTGGTAATCGCTTTGAAATTTATATACAACATAGAAGAAGAGGTACCAGTCATGTGGACATTTGGCTCGGTTAAAACATCTTAAATAACTAATTGGAAAACGAATCTCTTGCCATACTTTCGATAACACTGGCCCACACAAAAAAGTGGTATCTGCTTTTAACCAGACCCACATATCGACATGTACTGAGGTCCATTTGACTCGTACACCTCCTAAATTCGGAGTTAATTGCGAAAATTGTGAAAATAAAATGACAAAAACGAGTCAAACGGACCTCAGATTTGGATTCAGAGGGTCGAAATATGTGGCGGCAAGTGGGTCTGGTTAAAAGCACACAACAATTTTTTTTTGGTGCCGGTGTAAGGAATGGGTTAGGAGGGTGGTCTTCGGCGCGATAACTTGGCAAATCTCCAGAATAAAGGAGCCTTCGTTTTCTAATGAATTCTACCTTGGTTTTAAATTCGAAATCCAGCTCGCTTTCGAAGAAAATTTTTGTGAAAGGGAGCTTATCTTTTCTTTAGACAATGGCTCTAGTTGCTTTTAAAAGCTTCAAATAAGCCTTTTGCCAAAAGCATTTAATTTAACTGTTATTAATTTATTTTATAATGAGGAAATAAAATACACGTCTTACTATTTGGAAAAAGGAGATGAGAGAGTGAGAATTTTATTAGCGATAAGCTTTTGTCAACCGATATACATTTCAGCTTAGAGTTATCGATTACAATATATATAACACCCTCACTCAAAAGCTATACTAAAAAATTCTGAAATTAATGTTGTACTGACAATGAAAGAAAATTGTTTTAATTTAAATCTTATGATAAACCATATTGGTTAAGAAACTGAGACAATTTAGAATTTTTTACAGGCTTATTCATGATGTCAGCGATCATTTTGTTTGTATTGAGATAGTCTAATTTAATCAGCCTTCTGCAAGCTTTTCGCGTATGAAGTAATTTTTCACGTCAATGTGTTTGGTTCGTGCGGGAAAATTGTTGTTGATAGCTAGTTTTATAGCGCCTTGATTATCGCAGAAAAGTTGTATTGATCTCTGGACGTCATTAAAGAGTTCTCCCTCAAAACGTTTAAGCCAGAGTGCTTCTTGTATTGCCGCAACAAGAGACATAAACTCAGCTTCCGTAGACGACAAGGCAATCGTAGGCTGCTTACGAGTGGCCCACGAAATAGCGCCTCCTTGTAGACGGAAAATATACCCAGTTGTTGAACGACGTTCATCTTGGTCGCCAGCCCAGCCCGCATCACAATAGCCAGTTAATTGACCAGCGCTGTCTTTACGGTAAGTCAGCTTCATGTCAATTGAATCCTTTAGATAGCGAAGCACTCACTTGACTACCTCCCAGTGCGCCTTACCATGGCATGTGTTGAATCGGCTGAGTGAGCTTACCGCAAAAGCGATATCGGGACGGCTGATTTGTGCAGCGTACATAATGCAGCATAATGCTATCCTTTGATAGACGTTGATTTGGATCCATTGGGGTAGCTACCGGGTTGCTATCTTGCATATTAAATCGACGTAAGATATCTGACAAGTATCGCTTTTGGTCAATGGAGATTGATCCATCATGCTTTCGAGTGATGTTAATCCCAAGCACTGACGTTGCAGCTCCCATGTCTTTCATTTTAAAGTGCTTAGACAGATCCTTTTTGAGTTTTGTTATCATCGTATTGTTACCGCCAAAAATCAAAATATCGTGAACATAAACAGCCAGTATGATGATATTTTGAGCTGAATGCTTAAAATAGACGCATTGGTCAACCGCCGATCTGGTAAAGCCAAGCTGTAGTGTCAATACGGAATTTAATTTCATCTTCCACAATCTACTCGATTGCTTCAAACCGTAAAGCGATTTGCGTAGACGGCAGACTCTTTTGGTTTCATCCGCAAAGCATTGCGGTTGGCGCATGTAAATTTCTTCTTCCAATTCTCCTTGGAGAAAGGCGGTTACTGCGTCCATTTGGTGAACTGCCAAGTCGAACTTAACAGCAGTAGCCAAAAGAAAACGTATTGATGAGTAACGAGCAACTGGAGAGTAGGTTTCGTCGTAATCAATGCCCTTGACTTGCGAGAACCCCTTGACAACCAATCGCGCTTTGTAGCGATCGATATCACCCTCGGCATTCCTCTTTACTTTAAACACCCATTTGCAATCTATAGCTCACTGAATTCAGGCATCGCCACTTGAATCGCCGTCATCATCGTCAGTAAGCTCAACCTTGCGCACAGAACTTCGTGTCTTTGGTAGCAAATTATAATTATTAATAGTGTGATGTTCAGTAATTACCTTACTATTTTGGTGCTCGAAAAATGTAACATCGCGACTGACAATCGTCTGCTTGGTTTTCTGGTTGAACATCTTGTATGCTTTTGACTGCTCGCTGTATCCAAGGAAAATACATTTGTATGACTTCGAGTCCAGCTTTCGTCGATTTTCTTTCGGGATGTGTACCATTGCAGTACATCCGAATACCCGTAGCGATGACAAATCCGGTTTTATTTTTGTCCAGATTTCTTCCGGCGTAGTGTTCTTCATGTCCCTGCATGGTGTTCTGTTGATTAGGTAAACCGCCGTGGCCGCCGCCTCTGCCCAATATTTTTGAGGTAAATCAGCATCGATAAGCATACAGCGCACATTTTCGATTATTGTGCGATTCATGCGTTCGGCGACGCCATTTTCTTCAGGCGTGTAGGGCGCCGTGAACTGATGCTGCTCTACGATGGTCTTGAACGAATTGTTGCAAAACTCTTTACCGTTGTCGGATCTTAATATTTTTATCGTTGATGCTTGTTGATTTTCGACCAACTTTTTAAATTTTATAAAAATATCGAACACCTCACTTTTGTACTTCATCGGGTAAGCAAACACCTTTCGGCTAAAATAATCTACAAATGTTAGTAGATAACGACATCCACTGAACGACGACGTTGACATGGGCCCGCAAACGTCAGTGTGGATTATTTGCAAAACTTTTGTTGCACGATTACCACTTTGCTTAAACGAAGTGCGCGTTTGCTTCCTTCAGAGCATATTGTGCATGGGTCCAAAACACCATTTGATATATCGAAGCCTTCGACCGCTGATTGAATACGAGCTAAGTTGCGGTCACACGCATGTCCCATGCGCCGGTGCCACAAGCTTCGATTTACTGTTGCAGTTAACGCCGTATCATTGCGTTGCGTGGTGCAACTAAGCCGATATAAATCGTTAACAAGTGGTGCCGTGACTATTAATTTGTAGTTTTCGTTAAAAATACGGCAGTTTTTGTCGTTGAATACTAGTGTTTTACCATTTTTTGCCATTTGACTTACCGACATTAGGTTAGCACAAATGTTTGGTATACACAAAACGTCTTTTACAGTGAATTGCTCATTATTCGCATTTTCGTCCGACAATATCGTCATGCGAACATCTCCAGCACATTTCACGTTAAGGCGTCCACTATCGCCAACAATAATCTCCTTGGATTTTGGCTCTCGTAGCTCGCATAAATTATTTGAAGACATCGTCATGTGGGCAGAAGCCCCAGAGTCAATAAACCACTCATTTGCATTTTCGGTTTTCGCAACGAGTGATGTCGACATCAGTAAGAAGTTGTTTTGAGATTTCTTTGACTTCGTTGGACATTTGGTCGCATAATGGCCCTTCGCATTACATTCGAAACACACAACCGCTGGTTTGTTAATTTTCCGTGCACGGTTGTTTTTCTGCTTTTTTGAAATAAGAGCTACTACGTCATTATTCGTAGATTCATATCTTACTTCTTGTAGCAAGTTTGTGCGTACTAGGTCAGTCGTCAGCGCTTTACCACTAATTGCAAGCGACATTACCATTGGACGGTATTCGTTTGGCAGACCACTCAGCATTATTTGTGCAACGATGTCATCCGGAATCTTCGTACCTGATTTGTCCAACTTTTGTTGCGTGCAAGTCATTTTATTGTTGTATTCCTCCATAGAGGAACAATCAGCCAATTCTAGTCTCATCAAGTATTTTAAGAGATCCATGCGACGTAGGGCCCCATTATCCTCAAACGTAGTCTCCAGCGCTTCCCATGCAGCTTTTGCGTTTGCACAATTCTGCACATAGGAATAATTTTCCGGCTCTATTAGTAACCCTAATGCCGAAATCGCAAGCAAGTTTTTGGTCGCATCTTGCTCAGCTCCCTCGATGCATGGCCAGTACCCCTTTAGCAGTAAGTAGGACTTAGCTGCGAATTTCCACGTGTCGTAATTCTCTCGGCCCTTCAATTTTTCGATCTTGTCGATTCCCCTTGTAGTTAATCCACGTGATTTTAGCCTCTAAATCAAACGAGTTGCTAACCGCAACAATTATGTGTATTTGATTAACACGAATTATTTATCAAAAACGAAGAATTCGAGTAGGAAACGTTATCTATTTACTAGTTACGACTTTTTTTTTTGGCAAAAAACGTGAGGCCCATAACCTGTTATTAATTTATTTTATAATGAGGAAATAAAATACACGTCTTATTATTTGGCAAAAGGAGATGAGAGAGTGGGAATTTTATTAGCGATAAGCTTTTGTCAACCGATATACATTTCAGCTTAGAGTTATCGATTACAATATATATTATTGCAAGTTCTTTTCAAAAACTCCATTAGAAATGCTTGTTAGATCAGACTTCAACTATTAAAAGCCAATGTCTATTCAATTTACAAAAAGAAAGAGGTCATATGTATATGTAAACAAAGCAATTTTATTTTTGTTAACTTTTCGCGTTTGCCCTATTTGGAAGTACGAGTATTATCGATACTTTTTTGCAAATATGAGTACTGGCATCGATTGTTTTTTAGAGTATCATAAATGAGTACAGGTATCGATACTTTTCTAAAAAGTTCTATCACTACTTATGACTCAGTCTCTTAAAAAAAGTTGGTTTGGTCCAATACCCAGCCGAGTGCTGTACAGTCTAATGAATGGTGGAAAAGGATGGTCTTCCGACTCGACAACTTGCGCACTCTCCAGCATAAAGCAGTCGTCGTTAACCCATGTATTCTACCTCCGTTGTGAATTCGAAATCTAGCCGACAGTTGGCCAAAGCTTACAAAAGCTCTCTGTACTATTTATATAGGGCAGGCACCAAATGGAAGCTCTCGCTGGCCAGCTCTGATCTAGCCCATTCTTGAAGCAAATTTTTTATGAAAGAGAGCTTATCTTTCCGTTAGAGAATGGGCTTCACCACATTTACTTATATTTTTATAGTTTTCTATAGTTGCATTTCATTTTCAAAGTAAAGTTATTTATATATATACGCGTCAAACTATTATAAAATATGTATTTGCTTTTAAAAACTAGAATATTTAAGCTATTTGCTATAAACAATTTAATTTACGCACGTAAAACTAAACTTATTGAGAGTTTATTTCAAAAACTCCTTTAGATCAGATTAAAACTATTAAAAGCAGCGACTATTCAATTTAGAAATAGGAAGAGGTCAAAAAAGCAAGGCAATCTGATTTTTGTTTGCTTTTTGCGTTTGCTTTGAGAATACTTGGAAGTACGAGTATTATCGGTACTTTTTTGCAAATATGAGTACTGGCATCGATTATTTTTTGGAGTATTCTATATGAGTACTAGTATCGATACTTTTCTAAAAAGTTCTATCACTAGCCTTGATATTTGTATTAGAAGCTTAGAGTACAACTTCTCAAAATGCTTTTCATGCGTTCAGAAATTTTTTCTTTTTAAACTACCCTGCAGAAAATGGGACTAGTTTGTAGCTAACTATTAACTAACTAGCAGTCGACTAGTTGTGACTATTTATTAACTATTTCCGTTGGCCGTAACTAACTACTTTTGAATTGCGATGGCCGAAAAATAGTGAGAACTGGTTTCCTCTGCATTAGATGTCAACTAATTTATAGCTAACTACTTTTGGACATAAACTATTAATAAAACAAAATATTTTTTTTTTTAATTTTTTATATTTTTATTTATTTACTTAGTTTATTTAACATTGCATATTTGCTTATTTCTTAACATGTTCTTTTTTAGGTGGTATCATATTTGAATTCGATCAGACATAACAGCAAAATGGTAATATAAAATTTCGACCTTTATTTTATTTTTCCTGAATACGAAAAAGAATCTGCGAAGTGCAGAAAAAAAGGGTATTGAAAGTAATTTTTATATGACGATATTTAAATAGAAACTTGTAAAGAAAATAAACTCCCGATAACGTCTGCATGAGTCCTGCACAACTTCACAACTAACTAAATGTTAGTTTTGCCATTGCTAATTAAAAGTGATTTATTTATCGAAATCCCGCAAA